CGGGAAGCAAGCGCTGCTTCTGCACGTGTCTCTCTGCTCCGCGGGCCTCCTCCAGGCCTCCTTCCTCCTTCTCTCTGCTTCTTCCTTCTTCCTGGTCCTCTCCCTGCTCCCCGCGCCCCGTCTCCGTCTCTCTCCTTCCCTCTCAGGCCTTCTCCCGTCCTCTCTCCCCACGCCGGCCAGCTCCACCCGCCCTCGGTGGGGCAGGGAACCTGGAGCCTCCCCTTTCCCTGCCCCCATCCCACGCCCCGCCGTCCCTTCACAGTGTCCTCTGATAGAAACCGTGATGCTCCTCACGCCAGAACCTCTTCTGCAAAAATTTCCTGGAGTCAGGACTTTTAAGCCGCTGCATTTCTGCCGTCCTGGTGAGTGCCATCGCGCGTGCGGGCCATCCCAGCAGCTTCCGCACAGTGTTGTCACGGAGACCTGCACAAATGGCCCCAGAATAAAGGACCTGGACGCTGGACACCCCATCCCAGCCAGGCGGCACTGCAGCCCCTCAGAACGACATGCAGGAGCTTAACTCCCCCTGGTCTGGAAGCCCAGATGCAGCCCGTTCCCTGGCACACCCTGTTCCGCTGTCCTGAGATGACAGGAAGCCAGGTAGGGCCAGAGCTGTGCCCCAAAACCTAGCCTGAAGCAGCTACAGAGGTAGCTAGACCTGGGCCACACGTCCAAAGAGGTCATTGAGGGTGCCAATGAAGTTGAGAACTAAGCCCCCCTATCCCCAGCAGGCAGGCTCAGGAAAACTTGGAGAAAGGGAATTGATGCGGTTGCTGTGGGAACCAGGCCTAGGGCTGATCACCTTGACCCTGAATGTGGAGGCGGGGCCAGGCCACGATCTGTGACCGCGGTCCTCGCCCGGCACCAGACAGCCCCGCACTAACTGGCCCAACCGACTTCGCAGTCATGAACGTCCCATAAAAACGGGTTGTAAAGGAATCCCCAAAACTTTCCCAGCCAGACCTTTCCCGCCTCGCCCTGCTCCCCTTAGCAGTGCAACTCAGTAAAGCCGCCTCTTCGGTCCTCCACTGTGTCTGGTGACCCCTTTCACCCCCGTGCCTCCGGCCTCACCCGGCTGCTTCCCCGCAGCACCCAGCGAGAGCAAAGCTGGAAGCACCGCACAGAAAATGCGCAGAAAGAAACTCCTCGCAGGATTCCAGGGAGGAACAGTCAGATGTCGCTCAAGCTGAGAAATGGCTGACACCAAAGAGAAACTCCAGGCAAGTCAGTGAAGCCGGAGGGCTCCAGAGACCACACCGTGGGGACATGTTCGGCCATAGAGAGGGTTTATTCATCTCAATCCGCAGCTATGTCACCTGTTCCCAGCGACCCATCCACGGAACAATACAGGGCCCTTTCGCAAGTTCACACTTGCAGGGCACTTGCCTGAGATTTTTCTCCATGGTGCAACCTTTGAAACTTGGCATATTTTGCTAAAAGAATAAGTGAAAAGAAAAGGGAGCTGAAAGCTGGCACAGTCTCACAGAGGAAGCACAACTTAAATATAATGTACAGATAATAAATTCATTTTCTTGTGCGGAACAGGTACACACACCCCTTGTTCTTTTTTTCTGGTTGCAAATAGCAGCACAGCTTATGTGATACATTCTTCTTTCTGTAGATTTCTTTTTGGATTCCTTCATGGATTTCTTTTTCACATTGTGATTGGATGGAAAGAAGTGGACACAGTGAAGAATGATCAATTTGACTATTACAAATCCCTTTTTTTCCCAAAAGATTTATTTATGCATGGAAGAACTGGGATACAGGCCAGAAGTGGGGAAGTGAGAGGATTCACTAGAGACAAAGTGGGTAATAGCACAGATGGACTGACTGAAATCCACTGCTGAGGGGAGCAGCGGGCGAGCCAGGAGAGGTCTGCCGCACCATGTGGGTCACCTCCCTGGCCAGGGATCTGCAGTGGCTGTGGATAGCTTCATAGGCTGCATCTTAACCCCTTGCGCCACCAGGGAGGCCCGACTATTACAAATCTAAACAATGGCTTTGACTTTATTGCTGGCCTTTTGTTTTTCAAATGATTTTTTATTATAAAATAGAATAAACATATCATTGCCTAAACAGTAGAGCTTTATTATTTGAAACAAACTTTTGTTTTTATAGAGGCATGTTTTTTTTATTTGTTTGTTTGTTTTGTTTATACAAGCACTGGGTACAGTCAGAAGCGCGGGAGGGTGAGAGAATTCACCAGAGCCAGAGCGGGGAGCAGAGCAGGCAGGACTGAAGGACACTGCTGAGGGGAGCAGCGGGCGGCAGGAGAGGTCTGTGCGCCATGTGGGACCCTCCTCTGGTGGCCGGGGAGCAGCCGGGGATCAAACCGGCACCGCAGAGGCCGCGGGCAGCTTCGCAACCCAGCGCTCAACCGCTGCGCCACCGGGGAGGCCCTGAAACAAACTTTTTATTGAAAGATTTTATTTATGCATACAAGAACCGGGGTGTAGGCCAGAGGTGCAGGGGTTGAGAGGATTCATCAGAGACAGAGTGGGGAGCAGTGGGCAAGACAGAAGCGGTCTGCTGCGCCACATGTGGGTCAGCTCTCTAGCGGGGATCGAACTCAGGCTGTGGTGACCGGTGATGGCTTGATAGCACTTAAACTTTACCCCTGTGCCACCAGGGGTATGTAAGTTATATCCTGTTTTTCTCCATTTAATGTTACTCTATTTTCTCTTAAAACATTTGACATTGCTGCAAAATACCTTCACATGAAGTATATTTTAATCACCCCTCCACTTCTCTGCTACTAAATGCTACACGACACGCGAGGTTGCGTGTTTCTATCATTACAGGGCGTCTGGCTCTTTATACATATTTTTTAAATTGCTTTTCAGAAAAATTACATGTTCACTCCCACCACTACTGGGTTTGCTTGTGGCAGTCCTGTCAGAATTAAAATTTATCAGTTTGAGAAAACTTACGTTTAACCTGACTGTAAGGTTGAACACTTAATGTTTATTAACCACTTTTACTGAGCCAAAGATTTTGAGCCATCTTTTAAAATGCAAATCTGATGTCAAATAACTCTTGCTTAAAAGCTTTTGAAAGCTTTTCCTTTGCATAATATATTGCCTTTAAAAACTCCCTATCAATTTTCATCCCGGACATTCTAGGCCTGGGGATGACAAGCCCTCTGGCCAGGCCTCCTGTACCTGCTCCCGGCTTTGCCTGGCTCTTGCTCATCTTTGCATCTCTGCCCAAGTCCCACCTCTTCTGGGGCCTCGGACCATTCTTAGGTGGAGCTACCCAACATAGACCCTGGGACCTCAGGGTGCTCCCTGCTGTAACCTGGAATTCCCACCCCTATGTATGTGCCCCAGGAGAGCAGGAGCAGGGTTGTTTTTTTTTTTGTGTGTGTGTGTGTGTGAGTAGAAGAGCTGGGGTGTAGGCCAGAGGCGTTGGGGGGTGGGCAAGAGGACTCGCCAGAGACAAGGTGGGGAGCCCAACAGGTGGACTGACTGAAAACCCACTGCTGAGGGGAGCAGCGGGTGACACAGGAGGTCTGCTGCGCCATGTGGGTAGCTCCCTGGCTGGGGATCAAACTCAGGCCCTAATGGTCACTGTACTGAGACTTAACCTGTAGGCCCCCTAAAACAGTTTCTGATAGCCAAAACTTGCTCCTAACAGAGGCATACAAGACACAGAACAGACCCTAGAATATATAGTTATCTTTGATTTATTACGGGGACTGGAGATATACCACTGTCTACAAAATACAATTTACATGCTGGGGAAAAGACCTGTGAAGTCTATTCTTGGCCTCTTAAATAGCATTTTGTAAATGCATTCCAGAGTTTGAAAAGATACACAGATTTTCTGGTGGTTCCTTATGCACAGAAAAACCAGCTTAGGAAAAAGAGGTTTTTTTTTTTTTTAAGATTTATTTTATTTATGCATACAAGAACTGGGGTACAGGCCAGAGGTGCAGGGGGTGAGGATTCACCAGAGACAGAGTGGGGCACAGAACAGGCAGACTGACTGAAATACACTGCTGAGGGGAGCAGCGGGTGAGTCAAGTCTGTTGCACCATGAGGGTTGCTCCCTGGCTGGGGATCTAACTCGTGCTGCAGTGGTTGTGGATAGCTTCTTAGGTTGTGTCTTAACTCCCTTGCGCCACCAGGGAGGCCGAGAAACATGAGTTTTAAACTAAGTGTAGGGCCTCCCTGGTGGCGCAAGGGGTTTTAAGCACAGCACTAAGGAGTTAAATGTAGCCTCTAAAGCACGAGTTCCCTGGCTAGGGAGCTACCCACATGGCACAGCAGACTCGCTCACTGCTCCCCTCAGCCAATCTGCCTGTTCTGTTCCCCACTTTGTCTCTGGTGAATCCTCTTACCCCCTGCACCTCTGGCCTGTACCTCAGTTCTTATATGCATAAATCAATCTTAAAAAAAAAACCTAAGTGTAACAGAATCTTAAAAATTACACATCAAGGTGTATATACATAAACAATAATTACCTTTTTAAATTTTTCATGGGGAAATAAAAACTAGAATCACTCAGATAAGTCTACTTTTAGGTGTAAATTCCAAGAAAATTTAAAATGGAAATGAAAACAACCTGAATTTATTTATAAAGATACTTTTATCAGTCCTATTTCTATTTCATTCATTTACTTACTGATAAGCTTTTATTAATAAAGACATTGTTTTGGGCTCCCCAGTGACGCAGCGGTTGAGCGCTGGGTTGCGAAGCTGCCTGCAGTCTCTGCAGTGCAGGATCCGGCAAGGCTCCCACATGGTGTGCAGCCCTCTCCTGCCGCGCCCGCTACTCCCCTCAGCAGTGTACTTCATCAGTCTGCCTGCTCTGCTCTCCCCTCTGGCTCTGGTGAATTCTCTCACCCTCCCGCGCTTCTGACTGTGCCCAGTGCTTGTATAAATAAATTAATCTTTAAAAAAAAAAAACCTTAAAAAAATAACAAAAACATTGTTTTAAGTAATGGTACATCCATGTAAGAGAATACTACATAGCCATTAAAGAAACATGATGTAGAATTGTTTAATAAAAGTGGAATTTCTCAATACATCACTAAGTGAAAAGGATGAAGTCATAACAATTATGATCAGTATGATCAGTGTTAATAGTTGTTGCCATGAAGCTACCTACTTTTGGTGCAAATCCAGGATATACTTCAGCACTTTTGGAAAGACCTATGATGAGGTAAAAGTCACCATTTCCCAGGATCCTCCACAAGAAAATGTTAACACCACCACTTTGTTTATCAAAAGCATTTATTAGAAAATATTACATACTACACATCTGTTTGCGCATATTGTTCAGTAGACAGTGCTCCACCCTCCTACCACACACACTGTCTCATGGGCCACGGGCAGCCACTGTGCTTCTGAGCTACACCTTTTGGATGGAACATTCAAGCAGTACATACCACACTGTGGCCATTGAAAGGCAGATAATGGAGAAAATGTGGTAATTACAAAAAAAAAAAAAAAAAAAATCAGAACTTTTGGAATGTTAAAATTGTAGGTAACTACTTTTAGTCTCAAAATTCCAGACATCACTATAGCCCAGAATATTGGTCAACGTGACTAGTAGATTAAAGGGACCAAAGTTTCAAAGGTCAAGTTAATACTGAATCTTTATAAATAACAAGAGAATTTTATATCCCACAAAATGATCTTAAGTTTGTGCACATGCAAAATTAATGTAAATTTCTGGGAAAAAAAAAAGCAAGAATGGGAAATGTTAAGGCAATGCATTTGTTAATATGAAGCATGCACTTTCTACTACATTCTTATATATTTCAAAGTTTAAAAGCTTGAATTCGCCAGTAACATTCTTTAGTAGCTATTTTAAATGCAGTCTAACCATGACCCCAGTCTGATATGGAACACACACTTGTTATTTTCAAGAAAGGTGGGGAGAATCCATGATGTGGGACTTAACTCCTGGCCACAGCACCTTGTTTGTTTTCTTCAGAACTTTTAAACATATTTGCAAAAACCAAATGGTATAAAGCAATTTTAAAATGTCATTCCACTTCCAACATTACTGAAAGTTATGATTACACAGCTCAGGCACAACAATTTGCTACAAAATGTTCAGTGTGAACCAGGCTTAAGAGATTGCAAGTTCACAAGTTGTTTCTAGAGTTCAAAACTGAAACAAACAAGGTGCTGGCATAATTGAAAACAGTCTTAATTTTTATAGAAGAAACATTCGGATTTCTTCCCCATCATAATCTAAACACAAATGTTAATTAAAAATATATCTAAACCAGTAGAACACCATATTACAAATGCCCAAAAATGAAGACTAAAGATCAGAAACTGTTTGGATGTATTTCTAACACTTTTTGGGACCATGCTCATAATATAATAAAGATTATGAATTAGCACAATCATTATTGGGGTCAACATTTCAAGGTATTTTTGCCTATCAAAGCTAGCACCAGTAAAGTATTACGCACATAAAATGGAGAGAAACTTTACCTCAGAAAAGCACAATCCTACCTAGTATTGCTTCTGCTAATTTAGCTAGTAAGACTCAGTCCGTCCTGCTGAGGCAGAAACCGATCTTTGAGCATTTTTATATCTTAACTGAGTAGCTTTCCAGTTATTTGGTATTGGCATTAAAATAATGGTGTTACAGTATTTGAAACTTACCTTTTATAAAATATTCTAGTACTTTAAAAAACCCCACCAAATCCCTAGTCCCTGAAAGCCTAGTGAAGACTCCATTTAATTCCTCTCCTTTCTCCACACACAGATTTTAATGTCTAGAATTTTTTTGCAACATGGGCAATGGCTACCTCACAGCCACCAAGCTAACACTGCCTCGCTGCGGGAGCGCTGCAAGCTATCTCACGGTGAAAAGTGCTCCCTTACTTGAGTAGAAGGAGTCTCTCGATACCTCCGTGGCCAGAAAGGAGGGGCCACAGCTCTCAGCCATGCCCCGGCAGCACAGCGCCTCCTGTCTGTGGCCACTGCACCAGCAAGGTCCCTAGCGCCTACAGGGCCAGCTTCATCCAGACTGGCCAACTAAGATTTGAGACTTCAGACTGCCCAAGTTAGAAATCTAGCAAATCAAATTGCTTCATCTCAATTGGGGGAAAAAAAGGCACAAAAGAAAAAGAAGCAGCATAACCTTTATTTGGTGATACAATAGATGAAGAGTGACCCAAAGTGTCAAACACTGAATTCTTCTCATATGATAGTTTGATCTCTAAGCAATTTATTTAGATGTGTGCTTTAAAAATACACATTAGGAACCCTGCAATTGGTCTGTTCTGTTATTAGAAGTATTGTTCATGGTAAAACATTATTTACTTTCTATAATTAGAGGGAAAATCATAAAGATCATACTTTATTTTTAGCCTGACAGAATAAATGTATTATATATCTCTCTTCTAAAGCCAGTGCACTTAGCAGTCTCTCATTTCTGCACTACAATGCTCAAATCAACACGCTGCACAGTTCCCAGCATCCACTCTAGAACAGTCCTAGTGAAAATGCACATCCTGAACCCTCCTTTACTTGCTCTTGAATTTGTTTTTATTGGGGGAGGGGAAGAAAAGGATATAGAAGTTGCAGTGCAGAACTATATTTATTTAGAACAAAACATTATATCCTACATTAAAAAAAATAATTTTATCAAAACCAAATTTCAATCACAGTTATGTATGATTTTCAGTTAAAGGTACATGTTGAAATTGCACTTTGCAGAAATCTTGACAATGTCCTTTATAGTGCTCCCCACGTCAGCCTATGTTTTTCTCAGTGGATACAGGTTCTTCCAGAGCTTTCTTTTGGCTTCCCTTCCGTGAATATTTGTATTTGTCTACATAGGCTTTAACCAGATTTGCCACTTTAGTAGAATTTACTTCTCCACTCTTACTATGACAAACCTATGAAAAAAGAAGAGGGAATATTTTTTTCATGCTTAAAGATTAAAGCAAAATGGAAAGCCTTGTGAACAAGTAACTCCAGAGGAATGACCAGAACATTTTTATCTCATATGAACCTATTCAAATAAAAAATTAAAACAGCATACAGGAATTAGAAGTTAGCTCTTCTTTCTTAAATGAGCATCTTTTAATTAAAAAACATGATTCAAGACATAACTTCCCCAAACATGTGACTTACTTTGTCTACTGCTTTCCGTACAATCTCTTTATATTCTTCCTTGGTGATATCTTTATTTTGATAAAAAGGCTTAATAGCCAGTTTTACCTCCTGTGCTGCTTTTTCTTGAATTTGTAATTTCTGATAAAAGGAAAATGTACAATTATTATTTGCCCATCAAATGCTTAAAAAAAAACTTTCAAAATATGAAACTGGAAAATATTACACATTTATTATGGCAGGGAGTTATTTAAATATTAATGTCACAAAAACAAAATATTTGCTAACATAAAGCATTCCTAAAAAAATTATGAAACATTACCAGAAACTCACTGGACATTAACATATTCAGACAGAACACTTTAATACTGGAATTTAAGACTATCAATAATAAATTCCCTTTGCCACTAGTAAGATAGTTGGTATTTTTCTTTATCATATACAGAATTATGTAGGTTGCTCTCAACCTTGAACTTGCCTTGTCTGTCTTCGAGCTATCTGCGCTGGCTTCCACTGTAACACTTACTTTGCTTTCTGCCAATTTTACAGCAGCATTAGAGGTTTTGCTGTGACTTGATGACGCAGTATTACCAGAACTTGGTCCCTGAACCGTTCCCGTATTTCCTGGGGCTGCTGTCGAAGCAGGCAAGACTGGTGTACTCATGTTATTACTTACATGAGGTGCACTAGGAATACCCTGTTGGAAAGAGTTATCAGTTAATGAGTTAGTTATTTGTACTCAATGGAAAGACTTATATTAGAAATAACTTAAAAAAAAATCAAAGTGAGGGCCTCCCTGGTGGTACAAGGGGTTAAGTCTCAGCACTATGAAGCTATCTGCAACCACTGCAGCAAGAGTTCGATCCCCAGCCAGGGAGATAATCCACATGGCACAACAGACCTCTCCTATCTCACCTACTGCTTCCCCTCAGCAGTGTATTTCAGTCAATCCACCTTTTCTGTTCCCCACTCTGTCTCTGGTGAATCCTCTTAACCCTGCCCCCCCATCTCTGGCCTACACCCCAGCTCTTGCATGCATGCATAATAAAATAAAATCTTAAAAAAAAAAATCAAACTGATTCATTTTCTTATTTGAGGGGTGAAAGGTGTGTGGTAGGACAGTGAAAGAAGGGTTATGAAGATTTACCACAACATCATCTAATGAATAATTGTCTCTGGATGCCAGAAGTCCTTTCTGAACAGTTGCCCCCAACAGTTCAACGTTTACAGTGGCTGTGCTGACTACGCCTGAATTGCTCAAGACATACCTGCAGTTGCTTTCCCTCTGGCTGTGAAGCGATGTAGCCAACTTGCTGGGAGGGCGGGGGTGGGGGTGGAGGTGGTGGCAGTCCCTGAGATACACTGGGGGGAGCTGCAACCTGCACGAGGGGCACTCCTGTGTGCAGGTGCAGGGGCAGCTGAGGATGCATGGTGAACGGACTTCGCTGCATGTTCATCAAAGGTGCATGAACACCCACTGGGTATGGAAAGATATTCATAGGCTGGTGCTGGGTGTTCATTTGCTGCTGCATTACATTCATCTGTGGCTGCATCATATTTATAGGTAGCTGAGAACCATCACTTTGTTGATTTGTTTGGTCTTTTAGGTCAGAATCTGTCAAAAGAAAAAGGCTTGTGAAAAAAAAGCGTATTATAAACTTATTTTAGACAGACAAGCAAAGAATAACTGGTTCAAATAAAATTAAATACCAATTAAGACTCAGAATACCAAAACCAATATCCAATTATTTAATTTTTCCATTTCTAAATAATGTGGATTGATATTTTACTGAAAGAAAACAGTCAACAAAAATTATTTTTAAGAACAAGTTCATGTAACATCTGTCAACAGGAGCAGAGAATCAGCAGCTGCTCAGTAATGGAGTGGTTAAAGAAATAATCATAAAATTTATCTAGCTTACTAAACTAGGTTAATAAATTTTTTATCGTCAACAGTTTTTTTCCCCTGCATAGGAACATCCCAAATTCTTTTACTGCTGCAAACTATACTTAAAATATTTAAGTCTTTGGCAAGGTTTGGGGCGGAAGCAGGGTGAAAGCAGGAAACAGATATTGATGTGGATTTAAGTATGTGTGCAAATAACTTCTATAATGCAAAGTGACTTATATACTGGGATTCAATTCAGTGTTAGAAAACTACAAAGAGTGATCAGATCATTTAAATTCACACAAATAAGGCATCAAATTTATAATCCCTTTAAACAGAATGTTACCCTGTTCAGCCGTTTCCTCCTCTTGTCTCATCCACCCAGCCTGTGGGCCTGAAGCGTTCCTCCCCCGGCGTGAGTAGTAGTTCTGTACATCCGCGGGCAGAGTCTTTCGGACGGCCCAACTGGACGCTGATGTCCACCCCGACCTGTCTGCTGGTGTGTCAAATGAGAACTCTTGCTCACTTTTCCGTTTATAGGGCTGCTGTTCCCCAAACTTGAAAGGCTCGTTCCCTGAACTATCTGAATTCCCTGAGAGGGGTTTTCGGTTTTGCCACCGATTTTCATTTCGATCTGTGTAGGCAAAGCCGCCTCTGTAGGCACCTCTGCCGCGGTTCCCTCTGCCACGATTAGACATCCACCCTGAACTAAAGTTTTTATTCCAAGAGTTTCCTCCTGAATTTTCATTTCTATGTTCTTCCCAGTGAGAATCTTTTGACTTGTCTGGATTTCTGGTTCTTGGATCAGGCCCAGAATTTATTTTTTCTGTTACCCACGTGGGACAGTCATTTCTACGTTTGTCAGCAGAATTTGGATCATCAGCATCTGGGCTGATGTCATTTTTTTCTTTTCTTGTATTTTCATTCTGCTTCTCCATGTCACTCTTTCTGTACCGATCACTTCCTCGGGGACACCTCCAACTATCGTTTGTCCATCTTTCCTTCCATCGAGGAGAGTAACTGTCTCTGTCATTTCTACCAAATGATGAACTCTTACTTTTGGTTCTAGATCTTGATGGTGACCGAGAATGAGACCTGGACCTGGACCATCTCCTGGTTCTCCTTTCTCTATCCCGATCTCTTCTCTGTGCATCTCTATCACTTTCTCTGTCTCTGCTCCGGGACCTGGATTTTTCTCTTGGGGAGGCATCTTTCACTCTTGACTGCGATCTTCTGTTCTCTCTAGAAGTGTCTCTTTTGGGAGAGAGTGATTCAGATCTCTTGCTTTCCCTGGTACTCTCTCTTTTTGGAGATCGAGATTGAGTGCGCCTCCTTTCTCTTGCAATATCCTTTTTTGGGGACTGAGAACGAGATTTTTTCCTTCCTCTTGCAGACTCTTTCTTGGGAGATGGTGACTGAGACTTTCTGCTTTCTTTTCCCATTTCTCTTTTGGGCGATGGAGATTGAGAACGCTTCTTCTCCCGTGCAGTGTCTTTGTTGGGTGACCACGTTGTAGATGGGGAATGAAATCTAGATCTTCTAGTACGGGGCTTTTTGGCTTTATCTACTGTATCTACGGGGCTTTCAGATGGTTGAGATGCAGGTTCCACTTTTTCATTTGTGGGGTCAGAAGATAGCACATTATTTGGAGAACTGTGCTCCACATGTTTTTCATTAAGTTTAGCATCAGCATTTACAGGTGGTTCGATTTCAGATTCATTCTGATCACTGCAAAATGAATCACATTCCATAGGTATCATTTCAGTGTTATCCTCGCCCAAATGCTTCGGAGTCTGTTCAATCTGTGCACTAGCCACTTCTGCAGAGCTGTGACGCTCAATGAGCGATTCAGTCTTGTCTTCTAAAGATTTGTCTAATTTTGTGTTACTTTTTAATGAATTATTTTCAGAGTCTTGAATACTATCAAAATTTTCATTCCTTGACGTATCACACATTGCATTTACTTCTGTAGCTTCAGTTTCAGCACACCCAAGCAACTGGACCTCTGTGCTGTCAATAGACCTTTTGTCCACTGTCTGTAAAAGTCCACCCTCAGAGGATTCTAACTTGGGGCTCTCTACAAGCTGCTCTGCTTTTACTATAGACTCTTCATGATCAATAATTTCTACCATAGGACCTTCTTTAACAGGTTCTTCACTAACCACTGACTCTCCATTCCCAGGTGAGTCGCCTAGGCTTGGTACAGGGTATAGCACTTCAATTTCAGATCCTGAACAGGTGAGAACATCATTTGGAGGGTGATCTGTACTTGTATCTGCTTTTACCTCTGATTCTGAAGGTTCAGATTCTTGGTCTTGATTTTCTAATGAATCGCCACTTCCTTTTTCCAAAACACTTTTAGAATTCTCACTTTCTAAACACAAAAATTCAGCTTCTATACTGGTATCTTCAACATTTTGAACTTCCTCCTCTTCTCCAACTAGCACAGTAGTACCTTGCGCACAAGACTCAGCACATGAAGACTCCATTCCTTTCTGTGTATCAAGGGTCTCAGTATGTTCCTCACTTACTTCTACTTCTTCACTGCAACATCTCAAGCCATTAGCAGACTCATTTTCTACATTTACTTGCATCGTAGAAGTATTGCTACTTTCAACCTCTGATTGGTGCTCTTTCTCTAACACAGGTGGTGTGTCAGATTCTGCTGTTTCTTCATCTACTGAATCACTAGAAGAGGATTTTTCAGGGGGTGGCACAGAGCTCCGTAGCTTCTTTTTCAGTAAAGGTGGCTTTCTTCCTCTTCTCACAGACTTCCGTTTTGGAGCTTGTCTTGTTTGCTTTTCTGGCTCAGCTAAAGAAGAAACACTTACAGATGAATTATTGTCTGGGGCATCGCACCCAGAATTATTTGACACTGGAGATCTCTGAGACTGACTGACTGTTTCAGCTCTCGTGTTACGTGTAGATCTCCTTGTAGGCGTCGTTGCTGCTGCGGGTTTTCGTCTTGATCCTCTGGTGTTTGATGTACCGGAAGTTTGTTTCTTCTCTTCTCCTCCTTGAGCATGTGCTAATGCACATCCCTTGCAAGAGGTACCTAATAATACATATTAAAAAAAAAAGTTAAAAGTGTAAAGTACAATGGTATAGTTTGGCTTCAGCTTATTTTAATGTAAAGTAGACATTTATTTCTATAACAGTGAAACAAAATACGCTTATGAATAAATGCGAAGCTATTAACACCTGAGCACTATCAGTTATTACCAGCTTCTTTTAAGCTACTGAAATCAGTTATCACAGATCTGAGTCCATTTGAGCTATTTTATAGGAAAAAAAACAAAAGAAAATATTTTTGGACTCATAAATACCATTTGCTTTATAAACTGGTATGATCTAAGCAAAAGCAAGAGTAATTAATTGGATATAATCCACTAATAGTGACTCAAACTATTTGTTCATAATTAATGAGATGTTCCTTCTAAAGACCTGTGGTTTAGAAACTTACACCTTAAATAGAAGGGAGACTTCTTATCAGTTTTTTGAAAACTTGCTATTGTAATTTATTAAAGTAAAAGGAACTTACCAGTTGGAACAATTTTAAAGACAGACCACTGCCTGAATATTTATAGAAATATCAAGGACTTACTATCTAAATATCATTTTATAGCTTTTCTAAGTCATAAACACTTTTTAGAGGATTGGAAGCTGTTTTAAATCACTTAATTTTCAAATAGAGAAACATTTCATAAACTTTACCAAAATTATCTACAGATATGGTACTTGTTGGAAAAATGTTTCTTGGCAACACAGAAGAAATGAGAGGAAGGACTTCTGTTTCAATATTCCAGGGTATAAAGCCAATTCTGAAAATAAAAAATACATACATATTTTTAGTTAAATACCTTTATAACATGAAACTAGCAATTTAAAATTATATAATGGGGGGGGAGTAAAATTATATAGCACTTAAATGTTACTTTTTGCCCAAATATGTAAAAATTTCAATTTAAGGTTACTTACTGTTCAAAGATGGTTACCAAATGGTTACGAAGACAGAAACCTCTAAAAGCATATTTTCTGACAAATTAATGGCAAAAGGCTATCAAAGGAAACTTTATAGTTGTTTTTAAAGTGTTTAATATTTTGTCAAGATTTTTTGAGTTTTTATTCCCTTATTCAGCATTCTAAAAAAAAATCCACTTTGATAATGAAATGCACAGATTTCAAGTGCAGTCTGATGACTCTGACCAGTACATGTACCCATGCCACCATAAAGTGTGTGTCCATGCTGACAGGAGCACGGGCACCACCCCAGAGAATGCCGTCATGTTCTTAGAGATCCACCCCTTTTGCAAATCAACTGATTTCTTTCTTCTGTATTATTTTCTAAAACTCTTCAATCTAAGGATGATGGTTCTCCAAAATTTCCAGCATCTTTATGGACCTGCTTGACTCTAAAGTATGTGCACCCAACCTAGTGTTAGTTTCTTCTTCTTCTGATTCTTATTTGCTCAATTCATGTCTCCTAACAAAAGACCATCTCATCCAGTATAAACTGAGATTCTGGCAAAGGAGGACAGAAGCTTGAAAAACAATGCAACTTGTACATTTACAAAAGTATGAAACTCTAAGAAAAGTTTTCACATTGTACATATTTGATCTTCCTAATTTTACTTCAATTTTTATTTCACTGTCATTCTTAGAAAGTAAAGGTCTTATGCAGAACTACACTAGTGACATTTAAAATAAAGTCAAATGAACCAGAGACACTATGGGGGGTGGGGGGCGGGGAGGGGAGGGATTGAGGTCAAAATAATGGGGTTGCAATTGTATGGGGTATATAAAAATAAAATTTATTTTTAAAAAATTAAAAAAAACCCATCATGCTAACACTAATAAAAATACCAGATTTTTTTGGTAAAAATAAATAAATAAATAAATAAAAATAAAATAAAGTCACAATGTGTTATGGAAATGTATAAAACTCAGGCAGGGATCGTGATCCTTTGGAAGGAACTTAAGCATATGTCTTGTACTTAGCAATGTACTAGTAACTTCAGGACTTTAAGAAAAAAAGGGCAAAATTATAGAAAGACATGAATGTCAGAGCAGAGAAAGCAATGGATCAAATAGTTATTTAGGAGAATACTCTTGAGAGGGGAAGTATCAATAATAAAGGTAATGGCTTTAACTAACAGCACACCAGTTAAACTGGAAGGGGAAAGAGTAGAGGAAGGATGACAGACTGGATGCCATTACTAATAATCAATCTTTGCATATACCTGCCCTCCCCTTTTAATAATCAAATATCTATATATATTAAGTTGATAAAGGATTTTTTTTACTTTCCAAGGAGTTCTTAAATAACAATCTTCGTTAGGTATTTAAAACAAAATTTAATTTGCACATTTAGAAACGTAACTATTGAATAAGATACTTCAGTGTTAACAGTACTGTGCTCATGTTGGCAATGTACAAACACTTTAAATTTTTTTACCTTCCAATTCCAGGTAATGTATCAGGAAACCATGACAATTCCAGTTCCTGTCTCTTCTGCCTAATTAATGCACTGATTTCATTGACTTCTATATATCCTGTACTAAAAGATAAATTTTAGGCCTTCATCAGAATTTCAAAAATTTAATCAGAGTAACAATTGGGTTATATCATGAACAGCAGAAGTTTTCATACCGAGCATTACAAATCACATTTAAAAGAATGAGACTCTTTTTCTATTTAAACACTTTCAAAATAAATTCACTCTTCAAGCAAATTAATTTTCATCTACAAATCAAAATTGTATTTTTCTGATTCATAAAAATGTCTGGATTTCTATGTCAAGTAGCAAAATTTTTCAAAAGTCATTTCAGATTAATATTCTTATACAGAGTAAAAATGTAACTATTTCTCTCCCATGAACCTAAGCTGCAACAAACAGTTATGGAAGAAATTACTGATGCAGTAGTTTCCTATCTGAAACTATGCATAAGGAAAAAGAAGAAAATGAAGACATGGTTACTGTAAGCAAAAACAGGCATAGTTTAGTTTTTCACAATGTTTAGTTTTTCACTCAGATATAAGTGCTTTCTTTGGTACCTTGTCAAACTCTAAGATTAGTCAAGTAATCTTAATCTATTGTTTTTTCAATTTTAAAACACAACTTAATTCTTAAGTTCCACAAATACCTATGTATGCCACTCACTGGACTAAAAAATGACTAGTCTAGGGCCTCCCTAGTGGTACAGAGGTTAAGTCTCAAGCTATCAAGCTATCACCAACAAGCAACTGCGGCCTGAGTTCTACCCTGGGCCAGTAAGCTGACCCATATAGGGCGCAGCAGACCTCTCCTATCTGGCCCGCTGCTCCACTCAACAGTGGATTTCAGAAGATCCACTTGTTCTGCTTCCCACTCTGTCTCTGGGGAATCCTCTCACCCCCATATTTTGGACCACACCCCAATTCTTGTATGCATAAATAAACAAAAATAAATCTTCAAAAAAAATAAAAAAGAACGACCTGTCTACTGAAATAGGGTGCTCTTTAATAGGGACCACTCCATAACTAACAACTCGCCTCCTTCTCTGTCACATACAAAGTTAGTGTATAACAACTTACTGGTAATGAAAAACAAAGCCTTCCTACATAGGCAGTCGCTTATAATTAGGGGGCTCACAAACTAAGATTTTCTGTCAGAACTCGTTTGTTTTCCCAAAAGAAACAAGTAATAAAAAAACAAGACAGGTCCTCCCCTGGTGGCCCAGCTGTTGAGCGCTGGGCTGCAGGGCTGCCCATAGCATCTGCAGCTCCAGTTCGTTCCCCAGCCACCGGTGAGGGTCCCATCAAAAAAAAAAAAAAAAAAAAAAAAAAACCTTTCATGTTTGTTGAATCAGAGTTTAAATAGCTACCAAAGTTTAATTATAATGATTAAACTATTAAGTATAAAAAGAACAGATTAAAAGTAGGAAATACTAACCAGTAAGCTCCACAGGTAAAAGAGGATTCCCCAGTGTGACTACTAGAAGAAAACATATTGGAGAAAAAATTTCTGAAGCACTGACTTGTACATTGATTTGATCTTCGAGGCTAGAAAAGCAGAAAGAGGTTAGTGAAACAGCAAACAGAAAAACCTCCATCACAGGCAGGTAAGTTACACTGAAGTATTTTGATATACCCAAGGCTCTAGAGTGATGCACTAAATAACTATGAAGTGTTACTAAGAAAAAGATTTTTCTTTATTTCAACACACCTTATTTATTTTTATTGTTGCATTTTTCTTTCTTCCAATTTCACTGTATTTAAAGTTTTCTGTACAAAGACACAAAAAGACTTGGTTACCATCTCTTAATTTTTAAAGGTTGCACGCCAGTATTGATAATGGTATACTGACAAGATAAAGTTAAAATCTGTAGAAAAACTGCATTAAAAACAACATGTACACATTACATTTTTCCAAATGGTAATTTTATCTTTTCTTGCTAAGTCACAAGCACAAGGAAATATAAGAGGTCACAAAAAAGGTAACTGGTGAGGCATATGTAACTGCTATGCTCAGAATACTTGAGCACTGGCATTCTAGTCAACAATTACTGGCACCCTATGCAAACTTAAACCACCCTGTAAGAAGAAGTAAATGCAAGAAGTCAAATTATTCACTATCGATAATGCACTTAATATTTCCTTTCTAGCTATGACCTAAGACACAGGTACTGTTCATTACCACACACAAGAAGGACTTAACCCGGGCTAGGACAATCAGCTCTGTGAACTATTACTACCTGGCCACCGCCACCAACCTCGAGTACGTGCCTTTCTACTCCAACTTCACAATTACAATTAGGAAAAGTATTAATTAAGACCACTTTCTGTTACAGCAATGTTTCTGGCTGTACTGTTTACATTTTCTGTTGTTTTACTTGTCCCATCTGGAAATTTATTTCTATAGATATGTACTACTAGGTTAAGGGAGATAAAGGACAGTTTCTCTAGGTACAAAAATTGTGTTAAATTTTTCTTAAAAAATTTTTAAAATTTATTTTTACATAGAACTGGGGTGTAGACAGAGGTGTAGGGGGTGAGAGGATTCACCAGAAAAAGAGCAGGGGACAGAACAGGGGGACTGACTAAAATTCACTTTTTTTTTTTTTAACATTATCTTTTTTTTTTTTTATAGGCATGTTTTTTATTTATTTATTTATTTGTTTGTTTGTTTGTTTGTTTGTTTATACATGCACTGGGTACAGTCAGAAGCGCGGGAGGGTGAGAGAATTCACCAGAGCCAGAGCGGGGAGCAGAGCAGGCAGAAGGACCGAAGTACACTGCTGAGGGGAGCAGCGGGCGGCAGGAGAGGTCTGCGCGCCATGTGGGACCCTCCTCTGGTGGCCGGGGAGCAGCCGGGGATCGAACCGGCGCCGCAGAGGCCGCGGGCAGCTTCGCAACCCAGCACTCAACCGCTGCGCCACCGGGGAGGCCCCTAAAATTCACTTTTAAGGGGAGCAGCGGGCGAGATGGGAGAGGTCTGCTGTGCCATGTGGGTCAGCTCCCTGTTAGGGATGGGACTCAGGCTGTAGTGGTGACAGTGCTGAGACTTAACCCCTAAGCCACCAGTAAGGACCCAAATGCATTACATTTTTATAGATTACTGCTCTTACTTTTCTTTTATCCTCAAGGCTATATTATTAATCAGCTCTAGCTATCAGTACGTTTATTGTCTGCAGTAAACTGTGGGTATTGTCATTGCTCTCAGTACAAACCATGCAGTGTAAATGACAACTGTTCTTTTAATCTGTAGCCTAGCACCCCTCACAAAGGGCCTGACTTTGTTCAAAATAAATCACCCAGACTAACTAGCGGGGCCTGTTTCCTGCTATTACAAGACCATATGTTATTTGTGGTTTCTTCTGTCAGCCTAGTTGGTAATCTCCTACTTTCTACTTAAGAAACACACTAATTTCCTTTTCAGTTACTATGCCACAGCTGTTTGGTTTTATACTATCATCCATCTTTCACACATATCTCATCCAGAATTCTTGTAACAAATGCAATTTCAAATGCAGGGGAGAGGGGCTCCCGCTGAATCCCAGGAAACTGTTTTCTTATCCTTTCAATAAGGGAGGGAAAAAAAAAAAATGATACTGGCTTTTTAAAATGCTTAAAGAAACCAGGAGTAAGAATGTTGATAGGAACACAGTTATATTCTTACAATAGTTACAAACTTCAGTGAGACACAGAATTGCTGTTATAGCTACAGTGTCCTTTACGCCCAGTGGGTGTTGAGTTGTTTACAGTCATTCAGTATTTGATGAGCATGTACTGCTCACGTAATTTCTTTCACTTGGAAGCCTATCTCAGGAAGCCACCTTAGATAAAATGCTCTCTAGGGGAAGAACTATTAGTTTTCTGGCCATTGTTAAGTGTGAAAATCTAGTCCAAAAGCTATTACACATATTTCTGGGTAATTCTTTGATAATTATACTGAGTAGCTGAGATATCCATCTCAAAGTATTCAATACTGATGAATTTGTCTAAATTGTAGTTTCCTACAGCTCATTTCACAAATCCACCTCACTAATCTGTCTGTCTTTGGACAGCAATGATACACTTTTCTGTTTAACGTCCATTAAGTTAATGCACATACAGACTATTTAGAAAATGAAAAAGCACTTCTAGGCTTTGAAAACAAAGCAAAAAGAACAACTAGGAGAAAGCCCTACTTTTGGCTCCCCAAAAAGCAATCACCAAATCCTTTTATTGTTTCTTCTAATTTTTACCTCTTTATTTCTAAATAATAAGCTTACATTACCCTACCTTGATTTTGGGGGTTTCAGATATTTTCTGACATTTTTACTAGAGAATATATTTTTCTCTAGTACCACTGTGTTAACTACTTCCTTTGCTGCCTCAACACTAATTGCTTTTTTGATATATATCTGATAAAGCTATGTTACATTATTATAACCATATAAACATTCTCAGCTAAAGCACGTACTGACTAGAGACTCCTTTTTTTTTAAAAAAAAAAAAAAAAAGACTTATTTACTTATTTATACAAGCACTGGGTACAGTCAGAAGCACGGGAGGGTGACAGAATTCACCAGAGCCAGAGGAGGGAGCAGAACAAACAGACTGATGAAATATACTGCTGAGGGGAGCAGCGGGTGCCGCAGGAAAGGTCTGAGCGCCATGTGGGACCCTTGCTGGTGGCCGGGGATTGAACCGGCACTGCAGAGGCTGCGGGCAGCTTCGCAGCCCAGGGCTCAACTGCTGTGCCACCGGGGAGGCCCTGGAGACTCCTTTTGTTGTACAACTTCTCACATTTCCAAGGGTTAATGAGTGCTAACCTTTTTATTTTTTCCCTTATTTTATTTATCATTAGTTCAGCTAACACTACAAGAAAAGCATGAATCTCCTCTTCACACACTGAAACATGTCAACTTTATCCATCAAGCTTGTCCCCATTCATTTTTTTAGACTTTATTTTTGCATAGGAGAACTGGGGTGTAGGCTAGAGGTGTGGGGGTGAAAGGATTCACCAGAGACAGAGTGGGGAGCAGAACAAGCAGACTGACTGAAATACACCAAATACACCAAAGGGGAGCAGTGGGAGAGACAGGAGAGGTCTGCCGCACTCTCTATGGGTCAGCTCCCTGGCCAGGGATCGAAATCAGGCCACAGTGGTGGTAGCAGCGCTGCCCTCCAATTCTCCCACTCTCAATTAACGGATATGGGGTTAAAAGAATTCCATGATCATCTATTAGTTTTTTTTACAGGTTTCGGCTCTAGAGCCTCCAACACTACGTGTTCATACATTCACAGTGACAACCTTGTGGCCACTTTGTTAGTAATAATCACACAGAACAAGGCCTCCCTGGTGGTGCAGCAGATTAAGCGCAGTGCTGTGAGGCCATGCAGCCTCTGCAGCACAGGTTTGATCCCAGCCGCCTGGGGAGGTACCCACATGGCGTGGCAGACCTCTCCTGTCTTGCCTGCTGCTCCCCTCAGCAGTGTGTTTCGGTCAGTCTGCCTGTTCTATTCCCCAATCTGTCTCTGGTGAAACCTCTCACCCTCCTGCACATCTGGCCTGTACCCTGGTTCTTGTATGAATAAAATAAATCTTTAAAAAAAATAATCACGCAGAACAAATGACAAGACTCAACTCCCTTTCAAAGATGTTGGAATGTGTCATAAAGACAAAAAGAAATAAAACCTCAGGAGTCAAAGAGCTTTAGACATTTCCTTAGAGATGCCTGACTCCCCATCTTTCTGGAATACCTTTACCAAGTTTTTTCCTAAAATGGTCCCACCACATCATATCTTAGTGAATAGCACAAATACACATACCAATGTTATTGGTCAGCACTAAAATAATCTGAAGGTGAATAAATCTTATTTGTATATGACATTCTAACATCCACATTTCTTCAGAGCATCTCTGCTTGGCTGTAAAGTAGGTATCTTAAATGTCAAAGAACCCATGATTATACCCCCCCAAACATTCTCCTACCAGTTTTCCTCCCTCCCTCTGTAATTGGCAACTCCAGGTTAACAATTTCAGATCAATACCTTTCATTCAACCTTGATTTTCCTCTTTCTTTTACCCCGTTCCAATCTATCAGCAAGTCCTGTTAATTTTGCCTCTCAAATGCAGTACATAAAATAAAGAAATGAATCCTACCCATCACCGCCAAACACCTCCTCAGCCCAAGCAACCACATCAAGTCTCCTGGTCCTTCTAAAAGACTCTTGCACTCCCTATGATTTAATCTCCCGTTAACAGCCAGAGTGAATCTTTAAATATGGTCTGATCATATTACCCTTGAAAATGTTTCTCATCTCACACAAGTCCTAACTGACCTCCTTACCAAGGTCTTAGTCTCCCTCTTTCTCTTCCCTAACACAATCATTCTAGTCTTGCTGATCTCTGTGCTATTTCTAAAACATACTGAGAATGCTCCTGTCTCCTGGCTTTTGCTTAGAACAGTCTTCCATGAGATGTGCTTGCATCTTAATCCCTACTTCTTTTAGACTGCTGTTTAAATATAATCTTACCAAAGAGGATTTCCCCAACCACTTGCATAAGCTATGACTCCCTGTTATCCCTTTACCCACTTTATTCTTTTCTAAAATGCTTATCAGCACCTATCAAATTATACATTTATCTTTTGTCTACAGATATTGCCCTCTGTGAGCAAGCACTCTCTCTTGTTCAGTACTATATCCCGACGAGTCTAGAACTGTGCCTGGCAGTTTGTTGAATGAGCAAATTTTTCTCAATTCCATTTTGCTCTCATAGTGTGAACATCTCATAT